CATGCAGATATTCCTCTTTGACATCACTTCCTGTTATTTCACATGCAAATATCTCAACAACCGTTCAGCTGAGCATCGTGAAATTCATTTAGTGATATGTTAATAATGTTGTCTTTCCAAAAACGTATTCACATTTCTTACAAAAAGGTTGACGTCACTTTAGGGTTTCATCTACAGAAAATTGGGGTTAAGACCCCACTGTGGGTCCTAAAACTCCAAACTTTGGGTCGTTAGAGGATTTCCAGGAATTCAGTGAAGTTTAAAACTGACTGCTAAGAATGTTTCTGCTATATTTGACAAAAAAGCAGTTGGATATGGTTAAAAACAATTGGTTTATTAGAAATATTTGAATACTTCAACCAAAAATACTTTGATTCATGAGTTTCTGTGAAGTTGGTCTTAAATTTAATTTTATTTGGCATTAGAAAGTCTTAAATTTAACTTGCCTTAAACTGTAGGAACCCTGGATTAGGGCTAAGCTGTATATTTGATAGACAGTAGAAACTATATGAAGTTGGTCTACGGTAGAAATGTACTCTCTACCGTCCTGTTGTCAGTTACGTCATCGAGACAACTGAGCTGGAGTTTGAAATATAACGGGAAAAAAATTGTGTTTTTTAACTCGTATAGAGAGAATAAATCCTCAAAATTTCCCCGTCCTGCTGTAGAAAAGTTACATCGTGTGGTGGGATCATTTCCTCCCTCCCTCCCCGCTGCACGTCGCACAGAGCGAAGCTTTAACAACCGTAGTTTTTTACACCCAAGTTGTCGGAGAAAAAACTTGTTTTTTATGTATTGTTACCCACCGAGATGATAAAATAGATCAGTCATAAATCCATCTTGTTAATGTGAGCAGCAGAGCAGCAGCTGATCAGTTCAGCAGGCAGAAGCTCATTATATGGCAGGCAGATATTACATTTATTTGGCTTCACTACGCTTATATTCTAGTTATCTGAAGTTGTTTTACGACAGGACTATGTGCAGCTTAAGGTCCTGTCACACTGTCACATTTTAGACAACTTCTGCCAACTTAGAATATTTTCATGTCTAAATGACTAATTTTACTTGAAGTTCTGGTTATAACATCCACTTTATTTTAATATTGTTGAAAATTTGAGAAATGTTTTTGTTTGTTGTTGAAACCGTTTTGCAATATATAAAAATGCTGGGTTTAATTATGATTACAGTTTTCTGCTAAATAAACGCTCTAAAAATGACTATCTTTGTTTTTTATGATAGTTTTCTACTGTGATATTATATATACTGTTACTGTGAAGAGGTTCAGTTTATACCCTGATATGAATGTGAGGTCATCCCGCCCAGCTCTAAGTCTGATGTATGGAAGTCATGTGTCCCTGAATGAACCGTCCTCCTCGGTGCAGAACAAGAGGACGAGGAGGCGAACACAGGCTCACACCTGAAGCTGATCGTGGACGCCTTCATCCAGCAGCTGCCTAACTGTGTCAACAGAGACCTGATAGACAAGGTGACGACAAACGAACCGTTTTATTTCCTGTAAAACCCTCACAGACGTTTAACTCTTCACCTCTTCCAGGCTGCCATGGACTTCTGCATGAACATGAACACCAAGTCCAACCGGAGGAAACTGGTCCGAGCCCTGTTCACCGTCCCCAGGCAGAGGTCTGCCTCTCAGATTCCACACATCAGTCTTTAAGAAGCGGACCTGCAGAACCTCAGCGAGGCGCTGGCAGGTCCAGTTCTGTTCTGAACACTAACGGGTGATTTTTTTTTTCAGGTTGGACCTGCTGCCGTTCTACTCTCGCCTGGTGGCGACGCTGCACCCCTGCATGTCGGACGTGGCCGAGGATCTGTGCTCCATGCTGAGGGGAGACTTCAGGTTTCATGTGGGTCCTTTAGATCTGAGATTCTTAACCTATGGGTCCGCTACCTTGAGGGCCTMAAAAGAACAACATTTTTTAACTTTGGGCCAATGAGACCACATTGATTTTGAATAAAGTGCAATACACTTTCTCACCACTAGTAGCAGTAGTGCGCCACTCAGATGTTTAACAACTTTTTTAATATGTAAAAGAAGAAACTTAGATACCTGCCGAAAATGGAAATTTATTTTAAATGAAAAGTAGAAGCAAAAATGAAAGTAACTGTTCGGTTTTTTTAACCTAGGAACTCAGAGAAACAACAGAAACCCCGGCCGAACATTAATCAATGACA